TCGGTGGAGGTTGTTGTAATATGATGATTCACCAAATTTGACCCCAAAAACATCAAAATTGGCCAAGAAAACTCATAAAAACACCCACCCGAGGACACCCTTTTCTCGGGTTTGCAGGCAATTTACGCCCAAACTATAGTTCTGACACAAAAATAGTTCAACAACAACATTTTTCAATTCAAAAATCCTATCAAATAAACTTAATTGCACATATGTGCACCCAATGGTTGTCAAAAACAGTTTTCTGTTCGGCCACCTCGTCACCCCTATGCCCAGAGCACATCCTTCCCTCGACTTGAAAGCCCGAAAGTGACTTTTCGATGAAACTCAGATATGACAAAGAATGCGGTTCTGAAACTTTTATGAAACGATAAAGGAACAAATTATTGTCACTTTCAACTTTATAATATTCTTTGTAGGTCAAATAGTTTTACCGCAAATATCATTTTAAAAGTATGGTATACTGCTGTGCGGGTTGCCTACCCATTCTTCCCCTAAGGCGCCATGCATGGCAGTCATGTACATTGAACCCAGAATAACCAATTTATTGGGCTGAATTCCCACGAGGGTCTTGAAAAAGTGTAAATATTTCGTTTTATGGCATACCATACGCTGAAATTATCGTGATAAAGACACCAAGACAAGCGTAAGTTTCCATTATACATAGTGCCCCATTATGTAAGTGCCCTGGATCAGTACAATCAAGAGTTCCAAATTCCTTGGGTTTGCCGATTAAGGATCATGTGAAATTACAATTTTTCTGAGTTTTTAAAGTGTTTATTTTTTCATTTTGGAAGACTTTATAGTTTAGACTAAAACTGATTGAACCAGAAAAACACAGCCACTATGTCCTAGACTACCTGCGAAATTGATTGTGTTTATGTTTGTAACATTTCTCTTCGATCAAGGAGATACCTCAATCTTTTCAAAAACTAATATATAATCAGGCATCATAAAATTTCATTATTTTTCAATTACAAATGGAACTATGACGAGCCAGTAAGCCAAATGACACCTGCCAACTTAAAACTTACAGGAAAAAATGTCAGAATGACTAAATTGTCGTAAAAATTAAAAGAATCATTTGACGTCAAAATGATGATCTATCACCAATTTATATATTTTTATATTTTTGACCTGTCTCCGTCACTTGGGCAGAGCAAAAGCAACGAGGCAAAGCAAGTTTAGTAGCAAGCCCTGTATCGTTCAAAGACTAGAATGCAAAAGTGTTCCCTTGAGTTAGATTACAAAGTATTAGTAAAGTTAAATTGTAGAATTTATGAGCACAGTAAATTAATATTCTAGTGGTCAACGACTAGTATAAGATTTTCATTGTGGAGTTATTATCAATGCCACCATACATGACTTTCAATAATGACGCCCACTGCTTCGACACAAACTTTGAAGGCACATTTTATGTTTACCTGTAAATATTTCTCATTTACGTTTTGCACATACTGAGTTCACAATGATTTCAGGCTCTAAAATATTATCTTCGGTTGTCAATAAAAAAAAACAGTACCCGTGTTCATGGTTTCCTGAAATGTTACCCTCTGTTTGTTTTGTTGGGAGAAAATATATTATGTAGTTGAGCATAATATTAATTTAGAACATTTCGCTAATTCATCTAGAGGACTTGTGATACTTTCTTTAAAGAGGAAAGTAACTCGGCTAACTTTATCACTTTGTTTTCATCATGTAGGAATTATTTTAAATTAAAAAATGGTTTATCACAACTCTGAATTTTAATTCCAACGTATAATCACGTCGCTTGCAGGTTGTTACATTTCAGACAGCAAAGTCCTAACTCCAACAGGAAAACTGGGAAAATAATCCAAGTAAACGAGTTGTTGTGATGTTGTGATCCACGGTCCACCATTCCGCGTTCGTTTAATTTTTCATAAGCGTAGAGTAGAATGTACTTTACCCCCCACCACCACGTTTGGGGCCAGCCCCATGTTGGTTCGAGTGTGGGTCTGGGGCCACGACGAGACGTTCTGGGGACCGGTCGGGGTCGGGGGTCGGCGCGGGGCGCGGGCGGACGTGCCGAGCGCCGAGTCCCCTGTTTCTTTCGAAATCCATCTAGTTCGGTTCTGGTATGAGACATTGCCAAGCCAGAACACGTGATTTCTCATCTTACTTTTCTATTTGTGATTCTGACCATTTTGACTCTTTTTGACTCAGTTGTTTACAACAAAAGCACTGTGTTAGATGCGTGGAGATGCTTTGTTGATTCGCAGAAAGTAAGATATTTTCTTCCTTAATTTGCTGTAAATGACCTAGACGCAGTGTCAAGTCGTTGCTTATCGTCAAGAGCATTGTTTTTTTGACAGAGAACGCCGGCGTAACCATCGGAGCCTCTGTACACTGACAGTGGGGTTAGGGCTAGAGAGCATCATTTCACTCTGACATTTTCTTGAAGATGATGGTTCCGCGGCGGGTTACACGGTCCCGGAACCTGCGGTGAGCATCTTACACATCGCTATGTCAATAATGGTTGCCTCTGCACTCGAAACCAGCATCATGTTCCGTCATTGAAGACTTGTGCCCATTGGGGTGCCAAATGTCATTCATTTCATTCATCTCATATTCTTGGGAATATCGTGCCTTAATGCTATGATATTGTCGCTTTAACTCTTGATCACTTACCTGCTCTTGGAATTTTGTTCTTCTGATGTATTGTATTGGCATACCTCTTACTGTGACAAAAACCAATTTAAGATTTTGTGTTCATCATTTCAGCTGTGTTGAGGCACAGGGTGCATCATGTAGTGGGAGGCCTGATGACAATCAAATTGTGAGGCCGCCTCAGCAAGACTGTCCACTTGAAGTGGAGAATGTGTCGGATAAAATTTCTGACGTTCATGCTCTTACTGTCAAGCCCAATTGTGCTACAGATGCAGGTCAGTGCACATTCCAAATTAAAATCTAACTTTTCTCCTTTGTTTGTATTTTAAAGCAAAGATTGTGTTTAGGTTCAGACACTGTCAATAATGGTAGTGGGGAGTCTTCAGAGGGTGCTCAAGGAGAACCTCTACCAGAAGAGAACCTCTCATTACAGTGTGATGGTTCTTTGCAACCCTCTCGAGTTATGCGATGCCCACCATACATTCGATCTCGCAAGAATCTCTGTTTTCCATACTCAACAAGTCAGAGTGATGCATCAACGCAGCCAGCTAGAGTCATGAGATGTCCTCTCCCATCTAGATTTAGAGAAACTTCCTCTCCTATGGAAAGCAGTTCGACGAGTGATGCCCCTGGGGGAGCATCTGCACATCCTGCTCGAGTAATGCGTTGTGCTGTCCCTAACTACCCTATCAGAAAACGGCACTCACAAGATGAACCTTTGATCCATGAGAATGAAGCACAGGCACCCAAAGTTATGCGGTGTCCTCTGCCAGGCCGATCTAGCAGAACTGTGAAGTGTGAAGACAAAGTTGCATTACCTTCAACCTCTCAATTCCAAGCAATGAAACACTCTCCTTCAACATCAAATAACCTGATGAACTGTGAGTCATCTGTATCATTCTTTCATGGCAGTTTGGTTCCGTTTGAAGGCCTACCCCTTCATGATTCTGGAGGAACGGCAGAGTCTGAAGTTCTTAAATGTCGATCTGGGCAATCATCATATCCACTTCGAGCATTGAAGACTGTTTCAAATTATAATGAGTGCCAGAATGATAGTGATCCATTTCAAGCATTAAAGCCTGTTTCAAGCAATAATGAGGACCAGATTGATGGTGATTCACTGCCTGTTTGGAAGACTATTTTAAAAAAGAATGAGGGCCAGATTGATGGTGAAGATACTTATATTAACCGTCTTCCTAATGAAATTTTGTGCATGGTTTGTTCACCAACTTAAGATTAGTAAGATGTGTTAATCCAACTAAAAGTGATTACTTCAAAAAGAATGATATATAAAATTCTTTTTCAGATATTTTCATATCTTCCTCAGTTAGAGCTTCTCAGGCATTGTTCCATGGTTTGTCATCGATGGTTGGCTGTAGCAAGTAGCCCTATGTTATGGCAAACATTATCTTTCTGTGGGCAAGACATACCCATTGAACATGTGTGTGGTAGTATTAGATTTTCCCCGATGCTCAAGTCCATTACTATCAAAGACAGGCAAGATATATGTGTCTCATTTGTTTTTCTATTTGTGTTTCCCTAGTCAGTGCTTTTTTATTTTACTTTTTATCCAACAATTACAGGATTGATATAGATATCATTCTACCCGTGCTGCAGCAATGTTGTAAGCGGTTGGAAACCATTAATCTAGTTCGATGCCGCCCCAGTGATGGAGTTAATAAGTCTTTGCGAGCTAAATTCTTGGTATGATTTAGTCAATTTGTTGCTGTTTTGTGGTTTTGGTAACTTCAATTCAGTCTCAGAAATTTACTTTTTCTTCTTCCAGTATCCCTTCTTACGGAAAGCTCAACTACGCAATTTAAATTTAAAGGGTACAGACTACAGAAGCAAAAAATTTTATCAAATCTTGAGTACAATGCCTGCTTTAAAAAAGTTAAACATTAGCAGCTCCCGAAGTGTCACACCTCAAATACTAAGTGAAATAGCTATGAATTCTAATCTGAAAGTGTTTAAAAATAAGTGGCACTCAAACTCTATTTATAATGGCCCTAAATCAATGACAATTCAACTACCAGGCAAAATTGATGACTGGGCTTGTGCTTACAATCTGGTGAGTCTCACTTCACTCTCATGTAGTATCTGTGCTTTCGGATTACTTAATCATTACATTCCCCTTGCCTATCAAGCTTTTTCAAAGTGCTGGGAAAAGCCTGACAACCTTGGAGTTCTATGCAGCTGGGATCAGTGACTCAGCACTTGCTGTAAGTAACAAAGTTCTAAATACACTCTAGCTTTTTATACATAGTAACTGTATTTCCTGATTGTCTTCTTTTATTATCTACAAACTTCAGGCTCTCTCCAAGTGCACACACCTAAAAAAGCTGTGTGTTTATAATGCCAATTGCTTGGCAAGTGAAAGCATGGCCGGCATCAGCAGTTTAACAGAGCTTCAGGAGCTATTGCTTCATAATGCAAAATTGACTACTGTTGACATTGTCCATGCCTTTCAAGCAGGCAACTTGTGTGGGCTTCAGTGTCTCCACTTGAATGACAGTATTCCATTGAATAGGTCAGTAGCAATCAAATATCTATAACAATATAAAAGTAAAAAAAACTGATGTACTTTTCTTGTTTATAAAGTAGAAATTTTATCTTGTGTTACAGTGATGACATTTCAGCTGATGCTTGCGTAAAGGTAGTTGCTGAAAAATGTCCGAAATTAAAGCACCTGTCAATTACCAAGTGTTGTGGGTTGACTGACACGGGAGTGGAGTCAGTTTTGACTCACTGTTCTGAATTATTGACCCTTGATCTCAATGGGGGACTGGGAATCTCTGGCCGATCATTTCTATTGATTCCTATGCGTACCCCTCAACTTAAACTTCTTGTGGTAGAAGAGGATTGTTCCCAAGAGAAAAACAACATTTTGAAGACCTTAATTGACGGCCATGGTATATCTGTGGATAGAATTTCCTCTTGGAAACATCGTACTACATCCTATTTATTGTAGCAGTATTGTTTTTTGTTTCCTATGTTAAAGTGAAGCTTTTACCTCCCTTTTTTTTTTCTTCAAATTTTAGCTTTAACTAAAATTTGACAAGTGAAAATGCATATAACCCTATGCAAATTTGTTTGTTTTTTTAATTTTATGAAAGATATCTTTTGTTTATAGTCTATATAAATTGTTTCTTTTATATGTGAGTGCAAACGTCAATGTCTCTCAATGCACTTATTTAAACTTGGCAGTTACTGGGTGATTTGTGGTGTTTTTCTCCTCTTGTAATTTTCTTCTGAGTCTGATATGGTAAGGATTTTGATGATGGAAGTCTCCAGTTAACTAAGTGGAAGATTTGTTTCAATATTACTCTACTGGTCTGTTTCTCTCAGTAAAAGAAAAGAAAACATCAAAAAGCAGAGAGACAATTGTTTTGCAATAAGAATAATATTTGGTGTATATTCTCAAAATTTAAAGAGTTTGGTTGAGAGAACTTAGTTCTATAATCAGCATACAATCTACTTATCCCTCCTCCTCACTTCAGATTCGAAAGGGAACCCATTCCTTCACATAGGTTCAGTCTACTTAAGTGGCAGAAATGGAATTTTGCTTCCAGGATAAAAATTTAATGCTAAGACCAAAAATATTTAGTACTTTCTATACAAGTGTCACTATTTTGATGAACGTGTTAAGCAGCTCAAGTATGATCTTGTATTTCTTCATCCCTTTACAAGGCACTGATGTTGGTGTGATATGTTGACTAGTCGTAACTTTGTTGCGAATAAGTTAAAGTTGATGCATCTTTGGGACGTATGGCTCAAAGGTGCATCAATTTTTTCAGAAAATTTTATTTTGTATTACCAAAGGACTCACAACACTGTTATTAAATGTCTTTGCTTGATTTTCTTGATTTAAAATTTGTTCAAGGGTAACTATGTACCCGCATGATAAATATCATCCATTTAATACTTTGGCTGTGGTTTAACTTATATATGAATATGTATTTATTATAATTGAGAAAAATTAAACAAATTAAGATCTACTTTTCTTTATTCCTTCTGCCCTAGTCATAAGCTTACAATTTTCAATGCATGTGTGTTCAGGTAAATTAGACCATTAATGTAGTAAAAATGTTTACGAGAGTGGGCCTCCCACCTGCTTTTCAAGATCAGCAAGCTCAGCTGTAAAAAAAATATTGAGGATTACAATAACATTGTGTTAGTGACAAAAGGAGAAGAAACATAATTTCTTTTCAATTCAGAGAATCATGAACAATGCTCACCCTTTTGAAGGCGCAATTTCTCTGCCTTAAGAATTGGAGCCATGCGTTCGCCTTCAATCCTAGCTTCTTCACGAAGAACCTTTTCTTTGGCTGCTATTCTGTTGTACTTCAAAGCTCCATACCCGATACCAGCCAAGAGAAGACTCCACCTAGAGAACTGCAACAAACATTGGACCTGCGTTACCACTAATGCTTAAAATGGTATTTTATGACAGGCTTCATATTTTATGAAAATTATAAGATGGTTTATGCTCAATGGGACAAGGACAGGTAAGAATTGGAGGAACCTAACCTCAATGCAAAGGGGATGATCTGCAGGTGTTTGATGGGGGGCAGTAATGACAGCATAGAAATCTACTTACACACACGTGCGAGTTTAATATTTCAGGGAAATTACAATCGCAAATAATTATAATTATGTACAGGCAGTGCTACCGAAAGGCACGATCGTAGGTCAAGTAGTAAATCACTGTTTATCAGATTTTGGCGTCTAACTTCAGGGGGGACAGGGAAAGTGATCTTACTCTGATAAGAGGAGATACGTTGACTGGTGGCTTGAATCCTCCGACAGCTTCCATTTTGGATGATTGTTGGTTCAATTTATGTCAAGTTTGAAGATCTGAAACGAACCCCTTTTCTCAAGCACAGCAGAAGGTTAGTAGGTGCGTTCGAGATGGAACCAAGATATAAGATATTGGCCGGCTCAGACCACCAAATGACCGCACGTTGTACCACCACACCCACAATGGCAATATTTCAAAAACCATTACTTACTTGGCTTGCAATTCTTATGTCCCTGAACACGATTTCTTCAACTAAGTATCAGAGTTCGACGACAAGGTTCCAGGCTTCAGCCTTTTTTACCAGTTCAGTTTAGCCCTGTAGGGTGGTAGTGGTGGAGGGGGACGGTCGCGCGCGGAGCTTCAAGTTGTTCAAGTTGCGCCGCCCCCACCCCTCCACTCCCAACCCCAACCCCCTGTCCTGTCTGTGACGCCGCCCCCGCCCCCAATCCTCTTTTTCTGTATCCGCATTTTCCAACTGTTTTCTCACTTTCACGTTCTCTTATGTCACCTTCGTTATAATTTCCTCCGTCTCTTCTTTTTTTTCTGAAATTACATACATACTTCATTATGACCCTTTTCTCGGACAATATGAATGGGGCAGGGGCACATACTAGTATAGTAGTTTCCGCTGTATAAAGAAAATGAAATTTGGAATATGTACGGATGGCCCAGAGAACACGAAAATGTCACGACCTGGTCATTTCAGTCAATATGATGTCCTCGTGAGTTTTTCGTGTTTATTGGGGGGCAGTGGGCAGACGGACGGACGGACGGACGGACGGACGGACGGACGGACCGAGGCAATGTGTCATGAACAGGTGCCCCATTATCCCCCCCCCCCC